ATTAGAGAATTAAAGATATCATTACAAAATAAACAAATCTGAGAGAGGTCCACATGTAGTACCTATATATGTAATATCAAAGCAATTGGACTTGCGGTTTTTAACAAGAAGTTGAAAATATCACTTTTTACCAAAAATTACAAAAATATTCACCAAAATTAGAGAATTAAAGATATCATTACAAAATGAACAAATCTGAGAGAGGTCCACATGTAGAACCTATATATGTAATATCAAAGCAATTGGACTTGCGGTTTTCAACAAGAAGTCGAAAAAATCACTTTTTACCAAAAATTACAAAAATATTCACCAAAATTAGAGAATTAAAGATATCATTACAAAATGAACAAATCTGAGAGAGGTCCACATGTAGTACCTATATATGTAATATCAAAGCAATTGGACTTGCGGTTTTTCAACAAGAAGTCGAAAATATCACTTTTTACCAAAAATGACAAAAATATTCACCAAAATTAGAGAATTGAAGATATCATCATGAAATGAACAAATCTGAGAGAGGTCTACCCAAGGTACATATACACCAAGTATCAAAGCATTCAGGCTTGTAGTTTTCAAGAAGAAGTCAAAAAAGTAAAACATTGACACGGACGACGACAACGACGGACAATCACTCATATGATAAGCTCCGCTCGACAAAGTCGACAGCGGAGCTAAAAATAACTTGAATTTGAAAGCAATACATTACAAAGTTGAAATATTCAGAGCCGGTACAATATTGCTAACACATTTGCGTCATTAGAAAAGCAGTGCACTAAGTAAACGATGTTGATATATTCAAAGCCAGTACAGAGTTGCATACAAGTTGCGTAATTACAGTATCGTAGGATATAATAACAAGTTCACTAGATCAACGCACGGAGCATGAAAGGAAAAGGTTGCTAAGGAAACGCACCAGTTTAGTGAGTGACTTGGGGTCAAACTTCGGTTAACACACACTTGGTATCAGCATTGCCACGCAGCAAGTTTCGCAAAGTACTTGAAGTTCAATTGCGCTCCAAAATGATGTCACTTATCATTCAGTTGTCGCAGCGTGTGTTGTGTCATGGCCGTGTTGTGTCACCCTGTTTTGACTTTGGCTTGCTTTTCCTTCTTAGTGCATGTTCTTGTTCACGTATAATGCAACCTCTCACCAAAGTATTAAATATAACACTTCGAATTTATACTTTACATCAATATATTTGGTCAACACCATTTTTATCACCGCAGGGTTATTTTTTCAGACAAGATGGGTTTCGTAATATCTGCCATAACATCGCCCGGGCGATCGTTTGGTCCACATTCTTCTGAAAAAAAATCGAATGCTCCATAAGATCGCCCAGGGCGGGGTAGCAGCCGAATCCGGTAGTTGTGCCTGTGTCAGTGTCGTATTTGATTTCACATGTTTGGTCTGATCTTGTTTATGTAGACATTATTACTACACGTATGTATTACCACTACATGTTTATGCAGTGTGATCCACCGTATTTTTTTAGTGGTCGTTCTCTAAATTTCTGATTGTATTTATTCTTCTTTTATAAACATCATAAATCAAAGAAAGCTTAGAAAGAACTCCCGTGTGCTGAGAGACACATTAAAAATTAATTCAAAATTACTTATACTTGAGATATTGATGGAATAGCTGAAAACTAATTATGCAAATAAGGTAACTAATATGAACAGATTTAGGTGTAAAACTAATAAGGTCTGCCACAATGTACCAAGTTTCATTGAAATGTGATTAGAACCAAAAAAATATTAATTATTATACTAATTAGAGAATTAATATGAACAGATTTTAACCCAAAATTAATAAGGCTGTCTATTGTCCTAGAGCATTTATGTACCAAGTTTTATTCAAATGTGATGATCAATACTTGAGATATCAGTATTAATTAATTATGTTAATTAGATGATTAAGAAGCATAAATATTTACCAAAAACTAATATGGTGCATAGTCTTAGGTTCATTGAAATGTAATGGGTACTCTTTAAAAGTTTCATTAAAATCCAATGAGTGGTTTTTAGACATCAGTGCAATAGCCATAGAACAGCAAAAAATTAACTAATTATGCAAATTAGGTAATTAATACATGTAGGCACAATTATTTATTATTTAAAATTAATCATGTCTCTGCATAGTCCTAG